TAGAACAAAGGATGCAGAAACCTCACCTTGGTCTTACAGAAGCTACACATAACAACAAATGCTGACCCATCATTAGACAAATGGGTGAGAAGAGCATAGGACGGTGCAAAACTCTACCTGCCCAAGGATCCCATGTGCTGTGATGATATCCTAGCTGGATGTAGCCCATTGAAACTGCAGCGAGCCGCATCCTCAGGCAGCTCTGTCTGGAATGGCGTTCCTTTAAGTTACCATCTAGCCTGACCACCTGCAATGACTGCACCTGCCTTCCTTGATAGGTAGAGAGAATGAAGGATATTTTTGAAACTTCTAGAAAAGTGCCCTTCCCTAATTAAAAAAAAAACTTTCCTCTTATTAAAAATCTTATTGAACTATGAAAAGTTCCAAGAATTCACAAAAGACCAAAGATAGTCAGGCAACTCTGGACAAAAAGAATCCTACAGAAAGTATCACCAAACCTGGTTTCAACCTGTATCTCAGGGCTACAGTAACTAAACACAGATCCACAGATTAAGGAAGTAGAACTGAGTACCCAGATTAAGTCTCCAATCAGATGTCAAAATCATACATACATTAGAGAAAAGAGAGCACCTTAACACATGGTGCTGGCAATCAAGACTTCAAAATACTGAAAGATGGAACAAGATCCTCATCTCTCACTCAGCTCCAAATGGATCAAAGGCAAGTGTGGTGTCTGAATGGGAAATGGCTCCATAATCTCGGGCATGTGAACACTTGGGCATGTGAACACTCGGTCTCCAGTTGGTAGCACTATCTGAGAGGTTTAGGAGGTATGGCCTTGCTGGAGGAAGTGTGTCATTAGGGTGGGCTATGAGATTAAAAGCCTCTTGCTATTTCCAGTTCTCTCTTTCATGCTTGCATTTGAAGAGGAAGCTCTCAGCTTCCTCCTCCTGCTGCCACACCTCCCCATCTCCCCATCAAGATGGATTCTTATCCCCCTGGCACCAAAAGGAACCCTTCTGTAAGCTGCCTTGGTTGCTCCGTGTTAGCAAAACAAAAGTAACTAATGCAATAAGGCAAGAAACTCTGAAACCACTAGAGGAAAAAATCGGAAGCAGACTTTAACTTCCAGGCAAAGGTGGGGTGCTCTGAACAGGACCCCAGTAGCACAGGAGATAATACCAGCCACCAACAACCGAGATGATCTCATTTGCTGTCCAGAGACAGCAAAGGGGCTATCAACAGACTGAAGAGACGGCCCACGGGAGGAGAGCAACCTTTCATAGTAATAAACAGAACAGATTAGTGTCTAGAATATGCAAATAACTAAAAAACCCCAACTATCCAATTAAAAAATGGACTGTTAATCTGAACAGAAAGTTATCAAAAGAAATACACTGTCTAGTAAACAACTTTAAAAAGTGCTCAACATCTTTAGCCAGGGAAAAAATGCAAATTAAAAGTATTTCAAGAGTCGATCTCAACTGAGTCAAAGGGCATCATCAGGAACACAAATGGTAACAGATGCTGGTGTGGCCCCAGCAAAGGAGCAGCTCCTGGAGGCTATAAGCTAGTGTACCAGTGTGGAAATCAGCCTAGGGGTTCTCAAAAAATTAGCAACAGAACTGTAGTATGACCCAGCTATAATACTCGGGCACATACCTAATGGACTGCATACCCTACTGCACAGACATTTGCGGATGCCCATTGTTAGACGAATGGATAAGGAAAATGTGGTACATATAACAACGGAATATTACTCAGCTGTAAAGAAGAGTGAGGTCACAAAATCTGCAAGTAAATGGGTAGAACTGGAAAACACTAACTTAGCGACGTCACCCAGACCAGTCCAGAAACTCTGCATGTTCTCTCTCAAGTGCAGATCCTGGCTTTGTTTTGTGTGCAGAAGCCAGGAAACTAGAAAGGGGCCATTGAGTGTGTTGCGGGGTATAACTCAAGGATGAGTAGTAGGCAATGGGTAAATTGAAAGCACTGATGTAGAATACTAAGGGCAGAAAGGCTTAAGAAAGGGAGGACCAAGGAAGATAGGAAGAATGGGGTAAGTGTTAGCTTAAAGAAGGAGTGTGGAAATCCACTATCTCTCCACTCAAAGACTATAACTGGAGGGAGGCTCAAACACATGAGGTATGAAAGCAGAGGGGAAGGATACTAGGAGTTAAATATTAAGTAAACCTGGTCTGCAGCCCATGACTTTGGAGGGCACAGGCCCCGAAGAAGCTGCTACTGTTCTTTTGCTAAATGGCCATGTTGTCAAACTGCCTTCTAAATATTTGTGTCTACACACAGAGGCATGGGCTGCTCTCAACTGTGGTCAGAAGAGTCTCTACAGCAGGCAGCAGTCCAGGCAGAGACTCACAATTGGTTATGAGTAAGTGACTGTGAATGCCCAGCCCTAAATGGACCATCTCTGTCAGTGACCACCTGCTTCTGCTCTCCCGGGTCTCAGGAAACATCAAGGAAGGAGAAGCAGGAAGAATATAAAAGCTGGAGAAGGTGGAACTGTGCTGTGAAAGTCTTCTGAATAGGACACACGTGAACTTACACAGCTGTCGTTACTGTCACAAGACCTGCAAGGTTAATTAAGGTAGCCAAACACTGGAAGGAGCACCTGAGGCTCCACCTCTTGCTGAGGAGCTTTGGGCAGTGAAGGGCTGCTGGGGGAGGGGAGTCATTCCTGCTTCCTTGAGGCTTCAGTGATGGCCCCATACCTACTCACACCAGCATAGCACCAATTAGACTTCATGGCCTAGTATATGAAAAAACAAAAAGAGGACATGAATTTGGGAGGGGGCCCATGCTAGGGGAAATCTAGGGAGAGCTGGAGGGGATAGAACAGGTAGAAAGGGGATTTCATCATGTATGCATGAAAGAAATTCAGAATAAAAAGGAAAAAGAAAAACAAAATGCCAAAAGTATTGATGACAATATTATAAATTACCAAAAAAGCCCCACTTCCTTTGTGATATAAATTGAGAAATTTCAACTCCATACAGTAATTTATATCTCAACAAGGCACTACAGGTTTTAGAGACATGCTAAAAAGAAAAGCATTTCAGACATTTCAGACGTGGGTAAGACTCCGAGAATCTATGTCATACACAATTTCCTATAGAATATTTTAGAAAACACATGGTAGCTAACAATGAAAGTAAAAAATAAATAATAAAAAACAAAATGGAAGACTACAGTCTAGGAGGACACTAGAGAGATGTCTACAATGCTGTCATCAGGCTCAGAGAAGAGCCCATGCAGAACTGATCACTTCATAAATCTTATCAATTAACTGATCAGTTAGTGTTACACAGTAACATTATAAATTCTACTTAGTATTAAATTTTAAGATTTAACCAAGAGAAAAAGCAAGAACAAATAATATTTAAAGAATATAAAGACTATTTTTTTTCTGTTATCACAAAGCTTCCAGAAACATGCTAGGCACACAGTACACATCTACAGACAAATGGAAGGCTGTCAGGAGCTAGGATGTAAGTGTGGGTGAGAAAGATAAAAAAATTTCTGAGTTCTACATAGGGCAGTCTGGAGTCATTGCTTGAAATCAGCCAAGTGACAAATCTTAGATGGCGTGTAGGTCTGAGCATGACAGTAGCTGCCTGCATCAGAGCAGTCGGGAGCACTAGTGGGGGATCCTCAGGACCAGGACCTGGTGATGTTCTCTCCCTGAAGGAAGACTGCAGAGATGGCTACTGGACCCTTAACATATTTGTCCCTCTCTCCTGCCACTCACGGGTTGTGTATAATTCTGCCTTAACTGCACTTATCATGCCCTTGTTACCCTTGTGGTCAAGAGGGACTAGAGTATACAGACTGTGGAAGGTTACCTAAAGGGCATCCCATCCCATCTATGTGAACGTCAACATACAGATGGCTTCCTGCTGCTCTGATGCCACCTGTGCTCCTGTAAACAACCCTTACCCACACTCCGAAAGAAGCTCACTGGCTTCCTGAATAAACTCACTGGCTCCCCAAGGTGAACTTTGGTGGATGATATGAGATAACCCTTCCGTATACTGTGAATATATGTTGTTCTCAATGGCTGATAATGAAAGCTGAATTGGTCTACAGTCAGGCAGATATAGGAAAGTCAAACGGAGATACAGAGAAGGGTATAGTTGAGAGATGCCAGCCAGCCGCCAGAGGGACAAGATGTATTAGAGCACAGGTAAAGCCACGAGACATGTGGCAAAACATAGATTAATAAAAATGGATTAATTTAGAAGGAAAAGCTAGTCATTAGTATGCCTGAGCTATTTGGTCAAGCATTTTATAACTAACTTTAAGCCTCTAAGCGATTATTTAGAAGTGGCTGTGGGATGAGGTGGGACAGAGAAACCTCCATTTACAGGTGGGATATTCTTAGGTTTGTTGTTGCCCTGGAAGAAGAGAGCAAATGTCTCTTCACATCTCCCCAGGAAAAGAGTTCCTCCAATGTGAACACAAGCTTGTGATGTTACCCAGAATTATTAGGATAACTGAGGTAGAAACATAAAATATTAAAAAAAGAAATAGAGAAGACTCAGGAAATTTTGAAGTCCCTTCCCTGTCTTTCTAAGTGCCAACTCAAGTCAATAAAGAAAGTATACAAATTAAGAACTAGCTGTATAAACACGCTGCTTACAGAACAAAAGCAGCTACTCAAAGAACTAAGAAACATGGGTAAAAAGAACTAAGAAGGAGGAAGTGGGAAGACGAGGCAGAAGAAAAGGAAGGAGAGGGGAGGGGACAGCAGTAGGCAGGAGTACACAGAACAACTCTCTTTGTACCCATATAAAATATCACTTGTCTGTCTCATATTCTTTTTCCTTCTTCCTCCTAGCGATATGACACAGTTCACACAAAAATATAGTAAACTGACCTCTGTGGTCTATAGAAAAAGAATTTTAAAATGTTGCTTAACACCTAAATAAACAAATTTTGTTTTACATTGTTTACCTTTTCGGCTCTAAGAATTCTAATGACACGCTGAGTTACTTCTGTTTTCTGGAAAGATCCAGACTTACCATGAAATTTCTCGGCTTCAGGATCATTCACATTGATAGTAATGATTTTCCAATCTGTGGCGCCCTGATCGATAAGTGCCAAAGTCCCAAGGATCTTCACCTGAATCACATCTCCACGGGATAAAACCTTCACAGAGAAAAGATGCGGTCATTTGCAAGGCTTAGGAGGATTTAACCATAAAAGCACACTCATATGACGGAAATGTAACAGTGTTAGTAACTACACACCATGTGAAAATGGTCAGAAAGCCTGCCTTGCATTCTCTTTTCTAGGAATGAGAAGATTTCTATTTCCACCCATAAAAGGATTGCTGGTTAAATAACCAAACAAACAAAAAAGCCTTATATTAAACAACAGACAGTGTAGGACCATGACTCAAGAGGGAAGTTACCCAAGCAGGAGGGTTGGGCTTTCTGCCCAGTGAGCAGAGGTCACAGAAGGGGAGGCCAGCAGGTGTTCCTGGACTTCCACATATGTTCATGGCAGGAGCACATGTGTATGAGCACACACACACACTCTCTCTTTCACACACACACACACACACACACACACACACACACACAAAGTAAACAAAAAACAAATAAAACACAGTTTAAAAAGAAGAAGAAAAACCACCATTGCCCACCAGGGAGGTTGAGGCAGCTACAGAGACCGCATCATTGACTGGAGACAAGAGTTTACCCCGGATACACACACAGGGTAGAAGAAGCTGAAAGTGTCCTCGAGGAAAGGTTACTTCAGAGCAGCCCCATCCAATGTTACATTTTTATGACTAAGGACTGTCAAATGGACTGTCTTAGCAGGACAGCGAGTGACAATGAAACAGTTATTAATGTTAGACAGAGACAAAACAGGTTCTGTAAGATGCTTAAGAGGAAGTTTAGGATAACTTCCAACCCAAATCAGCAAGAGCCTGAGGTCCGTGAGAAACTGTCTCCAAAAACAGTAGATGGCACCTGAGGAGGAATGATACCAGAGGCTGACCTCTGGCACCCACATCATGTTACATATATGCAATGCCCTCTCCCTTGTACACACACATCTACACACAGGTACATACACACATTATATCAGAAGTTGACACCAATGTTCCACTGCTTGGGAAAGTGATTTCAGTGCCTTGGGTTGCCAGCGCCTCAAACCTTTCTACGTTCTTTTACTGTCACAGGCTTAGTAGGCTAATGAAATCCCCTGTAAGCTTATACTCTAAACGCGTTTCAGAAAACAAATTGCCTCTTGGTCCAAAATGCAGCTTTATATTTAGAAAATAAGGTATGCAAAACAAAGTCATTTATGTGCCCCCAAAGTGTTTGGAGAAAATGATGTTAAACCATAAAATCAAGTAAATTCATTCAAAATGTGCAAAATGGCAAATCTTAATCTAAGTGGACGTGAAGTGATTATCACATGGCAGACTGGTATGTGACTGTGTGAAAGGCACTGGAGCTTTGTTCTCGAGAGAAGACACAATCACATTAAGGTCTCCTGTGGCTTCTCTATTAACTACTAAAGCCTGCTACTGTGTAGCACTGTGAAGGAAAGGAGGAAAGTGGGTGGGGATGGGGGAGGGGGAGGGGGAGGGGAGGGGATAACCTCTGTATGCAAAGATTCACTACCTTGTCTGGGACACTTAGTGCAGGTGAGGACAGAAAAACAAGATAAGACAGCGGATCTCATCTCACATCTCAACCATTTTGACAGCATGGCCCAACCTGCAATTGTACAGGACAGGGATGGGATGGATGCGGATGCACGGGGATGGGGTGGATGCAAATGCACGGGGATGGGATGGACGCGGATGCACTGGGATGGGATGGATGCGGATGCACGGGGATGGGATGGATGCAGGTGTGCGGCAGTCTTCACAAACACCAGCCCTGGAGGCAGAACCCTGTGGAAGCCAGAAACAGCCTCCAGAGTCACATGTCAAGACTTGATCCTACTCTGACAATCTCCAGTCATGGGATGCAACAGTGAGACAACGGGAGAGGTCTTGTAGTTTTCACCTATAATTTTCCCCAATCGTCAACAAGAAGTTTTGGGTTTCTAAACGAGTTATAATTTATTTCCGCCTTCTCATTCATAGTAAATAAAAACGTTAGGGAGGATTAAAAAAACTGGTAAGAAAACAAATAAAAGCTTGTCCCTTAAGTCTAACCAAAAGACAAGTATTTAAGTGGTAGGTGAAGTTACTTCGTACAATGCTCTAATTCTACAAAGAGCATGTATCTACCATTCTTGCTATTCTTAAGGAAAAGGGAAACACCAAAAGCTCAGATTTTGCCGCCTTTTTTTATAAGAAGCAGCCCATCTTCAGTCACAACACTTGAGTTTCTTCCACTCTAACGTCAGATTCCCAAGCAAGTCCACCAAACCCGTGGAAAGCTTTGGGATGCCCAGGAGGCTCTTGGTCCTAGGACTAGGATCTAGGACTAGGGCTTAACTGGAGGCCTCGATGATCTGACCTTGCCTTGTTTGGTCAGCACTGATGCTCTTTTCAGAAGCCTGTAGGGCTAAAAGCATCCCAGTCTGCGAAGGAGATACAAGAGCAATCTTATGCTCCCTTCTACAGTTCACCTGCCGACTGGATGTTGCCTCTTACCACCCCACCCCCACCACGAGTTTTCCCTAGCTGCAAATTTCCAAGTATTTCAGGTATTTATCCTCAGGTCTAGACTATTGTTTTTTAAGTTCTCAATCCCCAAGTCTGAAAGGAAGATGTATAGATACTTATGAAAGAGGGTAGTGATAGTTACAACTCTGAGTGTGCTTGCTTTCAAACCTGAAGCACTTCATAGAGAGACTGCAGCTGGTGGGTAAGGCTAACACAGGCCAGGTCCTTTAGTGCGCACTGGTGGTGGTCCTCCATTCTAAAGAGGAGGTGGACAGAGAAGATCTGAAGAACAGAAACAGGCAGAATGATCTAGGACACTGTCAGGAGAAGCGATTACAGCATCTAGAGTACAAAGCCTTGAGGACAAGACTTCAGGAAGACACGGTTCACAAGACCAAAGGAATTGTAAGGGCTTCAAAAAAGATCTTGAGTTTGAAGTTACTATGCAGTTGTGTTGGGTAACTCACAAACACGCTGACTGAGTGGGTCTCAAGCAAGGCACTTCTAACCTCTAGAAGACACTGGCTGTCGAGATATTTTTGGTTTACTATCATCTCCATGGAAGAGGGCAGGCATGTTCCTGAGGCATATCGCGCTAACAAAGATTTAGCCATCTCAAACATCAGCCGTGCTGCAGAAGTGGGCAGCAGAGAAGTTCTTGAGGACTTCCATTCCAGACTATTTTGTTTTCTTACTCATAAACGTATTTCCCAACAACATAACAACCAGTGGGTCTATTCTTTACACTTTGAGGCTAGCAGAAAGCAAGTTCGGCCGACTGTCAAGTTTCATCAGATGTACCAGCTTTTGATCTCAGAAAAACACAGACAGGGAGCTTTATTTCAAACGACTGCTTGGCAGTAATACCTTCAAAACACAGAGGAAATCTCAAACCCCTAACTGTGAGATGCTTAGGAACAAATGGTAAAGTCCTGATGAAGCTGCTACCCTCCAGGTTAAAGCAATTCAACAAATTTCTGCTGACTGACGTGTCATCTTCTCAGAAACACCAAACGAACAATACACAATCACTTAAGAAACTCACAAATGTTCAACATTGTCTGTGGCCCTCAGCCTAGGAGCAACTTACATTGTTTCTTTACTTCACCCATGAACTATGTGTGTTCAAAGACTTCCCACCACGGATTCTCTTACAACCGACTTAAGGTCACTAATCACATACACCTTTCTTCAAAAGTGACTGTATTTACTTCTCATTTAGAAAGCTCTGCCATAGCTCATGCTGGCTACAGGAATCAGCTGCTTTAGCTGTCAGAGGACTTCTACTTTCCCAGCAGGACTGCCACTCCGCCCTTCCAAGGAAATGACTGAATGCAGGAGATGTGACCACTTCCGAGGGAGCAACACAACTCGGTGTGTAAACTAGGTTGAGTCTCTCAAGCCAGAGCTTGAGAATTTTTTGTCCCCAGGTTTCAGGGACTACCAGACAGAGGCCTTCCTAGCTGTTGTGGGGACATTTCAAAAGACAGGTCATAAATGGTCAGTCATAAATGTTGGGTTGAATTTGTCATCCACAATCATGAGAGATGATGTTAGGCAAGTTACTTCACACTGTGCTTTAGGTTTTAGTTTCTCAATCGTAAAGTGAAGATGATTTATTAGTTCTTCATATTGTTGAAGAGTCAAGGAAAAACAGATCCATGAGCTCCAGACCAAGAGGTCTTCTATAGAGAGTATTTGCCTCTCTGGGATCTACGTGGACTTGTTAACCTATACCTACCAAGTGCTCAGTTCTCAGGCGACTGGAATAAGCCTATGTAAGAGGGGCCTATAAACGCAGCTGTGCTGACTCAGTTCTGAGGGAGGCAAACTTCAACCATGCCCAGGTAACAACAGAAAACAATGGGAAGTATGGTGTTTAAAGCATATTAACTTGTGAATTGGGCTTTCTACTGTCGTGGAGTAAGTTATTGCAACTTAAAGGCTTAAATGTAGAAGTTTTCATGAACCAAGAAGAGTCCATGTCAAGCATACGTGGATTTTCTGCCTAGCGTTTAAACAGCAGTCAGGCCTACAATATTGCAAATTTTAGAACAAACTAGCAAAATATAACAATAATTAGTTAATATGCTCTTCAGCAATTACACATTAAAAATAATTCTGCACATTGGAACCCTCTGTATTACGGAGTTTTCCTAGTTATCCTTGGCTTACAATGAGTGTGGCAGTGTCGCGATGTTTATCAGGCACAAAGGGCGCTGACAGGTCTTCCAGCCACAGCCTCACTAAGTACATGTTCAGTGACACGTGACATGGGTCAAAAGAAGATGCCTTTGTTCAAGCTTCTTACTCATACCAGGTTTAAACCTGACTGAATGTTTTGCACTAAATATGAACTGACTACTCTCTAAGATACACCCCAAGAATAAGAGAGTTGTTTTAAACACACAGTCTTCCCAGCAAAGGGAAGTCACTTAACTTAGCCATCTTCACTTGTTATGAAATGAGATATGGGCAGGAAACCAAAGAGCCTAGCATGGACTCTAAGCACAGCAGGGATTCATTCAGATATTTTATTCATTTTCTTTTCTTGCAGCCTATTTAATTTTACAGACATCATTTAATTCCTCTTAGAGGTAACTTTAAAAAAAATAAGTACGGAAAATTATAGCTTAAATTTGAAAAAAGTTATAATTTGTTCATATTTCTGTTGAAGACATGTATAACAACATCAGACACATGAATTCTAACAAATCTGAGTAAAAAAAAATCAGGATTGTGAGGTAGAGTAAGGATTCATCGCCTCCCAAAACGAGGAAGGATGAGGGGCAAAAGGACAAGAGGGGGAGAGAGAGAAATGACACTGTGGGGGAGGGGAGAATGCTGAAGACAAAAAGGGGAAACAAAGGAAAAATTCAGGAAGGGAAAAAACAACCAATGACAGGAAATATTAAGAGGGGATGAAGAGGGGAATCAGAATGATGATGAACACTAAAAACAAGAAGAGAAAACCATCAATAGATATAAAAAATAGAGATAACTATTACCTGAAGATGCTAATGTAAGTTTCTAAGGTCTGATTTCAACTACGTCAGAGGAACACAGGACTGGCCAGGAGAGGGAGTCAGGTCCCAAAGGGAGCGTGGCTACAGAGTTGGCAGGGATGACAATCAGCGAGGAGACTGGTTAGTGGGAGGGATGCGTCAAGCGAGACATTAACGGTGAACTAGATGAAGCTACTGGCAGCAAGAAGGGAAAATAAATTAGTTTTGAAAGCTCTTTTGGACACAAAATCAATATTGCATCATTAACAGGTGACGAGAAGCTAGCATTCGAGATGACCCCTCTGTTCCCGGTGGCGGAGTATGGACCTGTGCACTCTCTGTTGCTCTCCTCTCCCATAACCCCCTCCCACCCCGCCCGGAAAATACTGAGAGCTGAGAATTAGCAAAAAGGAAAAAGTGAATATAGCTTGGGACACAAATTTGAGAAGCCCGAGAGATCTGAGTACAGATATAGGAGCCGAATGCAAGGGGGTGAGCTGATGTTGTCAATTATAAGAAGAAAACCAGAGACCCCTGGGACTGGCTCACTGGGCAGGAGAGCACAGGAGCACAGGAACTGACAAGGGCTCATCCTCCTGCTCCCCGGGACTAAGCAGCATACAGGAGGAAAAGCACTAACACATGAAACCATGGGGAGGGAGCCAGACTGCTGGGCGGGAAAGCCGACTAGCGTGATATAATTAATTGACTGTGCCTCAAATGAGGAAGAGGAAATGACAGGTACCAAAGGAAACGCAAAGGCCTCTGCTGCAGCCTCGGGAACCCCATGATGGCAGGTTGACTGCAATGATGGTGGAGGGGAAGAAGCAACCTCAGGATGGAGTGACAAGGATGGGAGCAGGGGATGGAGATGGGTACCGTGTGCAGAGGGTCGGAGAGGGTGCCTGCCGTAAGACATCAACAAAAACAGAGAATGACTAAAGAGTAAGGCGAAGAAAATATCCCTCACAGGTAGGAAGTGTGGCCTCTAGAGCAGTTGTGGGGGGTGGCACAGACCCCTTACACAGTTCTGGGGCAAGGAAGAGGGAGCTCGCCCCTGCTGAGGTCTACGAGAGATTTACCTCAGAGACTGAAAGCTTTTCTGGGAAAATAAATAGCTCTAGATAGGAACAGCAGGGAACAACAAGCTAGTAAGGAGTGTAGTAAAAACAGGAACAGAACAGACAAACAGACGGAAGAGTTACTGAGCAGTACCAGCCCGCAGGCTGGAGAACTTTATCTCCCTCCACAGGACTTGGCAGCCCGGAAGCAGATAGGAGAAGAAAAAGGAGGAGGGTTTTCTGTCTCGTGGTTTCAAGTGCGTGCACACCTGTATACACGTGTGTGAGGGCAGAGGGTAATCTCTTCTTCTTTGGGACAGGGTCTTCCAGCTGCCTGAACTTCACTGAACAGGCCCAGCTAGCTAGCCAGCAAGGTCCAGGCATCTGCTTGTCTTTGCCTACCCAGAACTGGCATTACAGGTGTGTGTCACTGTGCTAGGCCTCCCTCCCCCGGGTTCTGGGGATCCAAACTCAGATTATCACACTCTCTAGGCCATGCATTTTACCACCGAAGCCCCTCCTCCAGCCCTGGCAGGTGGCTCCCATCAGTACTCAAGTTTTTGTCTAGACGATGGCAAGAAACCTAAAGACTGGGCTTGGCAAACCTCCAATAGAGGGTCAGGTGGCAAATATTTTAGGCCTTGCGGTCCCTGTTACAAGTCCTCAGCTCTGCTGCTGTGAGGTAAAAGCAGCCTTCCACAAGGCACACACGAGTGCAGCTGTACTGTGTATGAAAATCAGAACCAGGCCGTGGCTGGATTCCACCTGCCATGGTTCCTCAAGCCCAGACTTAGGATAAAGTAAAGATCTCTGAAAAGTCTGAATATCAGAGGGATGGATACGCTCTGACTCTGAAGAGTCAAAGAACTGGAGGCCAAAATGAGATTCATGTCAGACGCGAATGAACCAGAATACTATGAGGATTAGCGCAGTCTACGGAACAAACCTTGGAGCCTATTTCACAAACGTCCACGGGGTCGTTATCTCCAGTACAGTTTGTGTTCTTATCCTTCTGATATGGATCTTCCCAGGTCTAAAGAAACAAAACAAAAACAAAATCAAAAACTGAGGCAGAAATGTAGGTTAACACTCTCTGCGGTACATGCTAATCTTTCCCCATGATCATGAAGTTTTATAGCTAGCCACGATTCGAAGGAAAAATGACCCAAAGTCACGCAGGCTCTGGGCTAACACAGCAGCACACTGTGCGCCCACAGGCACCGTAATAAAGAAGAGAGATTTGCAGCGCTTCCTCCTCCTGTCTAATTTGTCTGTCCTCACATCTGAAAGTGGGCGGTATTTCCAGAATATTCATCCTCCAAGCTTTGTCAGCGGCTGAATTCACATTCACAAATCTCAGAGTTTCACTGTTTCTCTCACTACCAACTGTCTCGTCTGTGGCTCCAGTGCCTCGCTGCTCCGTCTGACACGGTGGCAGCCTCTAGGTCTAGCTTTTCCTGTCTGAAATGAACTTCCTATTGGTTAAATGTCTCCACGGCTAGAAAGAGCTCTCCCCCAAGAAACAAAGGACAAGGTATGATTTACTCCAATGAAGAAAACCTCATTTTTTGTCTCATTTCCTGCCCTTAAAAAACTTCTCTACCTTTGTCACTAAATTTCAGGATCCTGACAAAAATCACACAAATAATTCAACCCTTCCTGCTACTGGGAAGATGATAACCCACTGACTACAAAATATATGTTACAGTTTTGGCGATGAATAATGTAATTGGAATTTGCCATCAATTTAAAAATCTCTCCCAGGCATTGCCTCCCTCTAGGAGCTTCTTAACTGCTTGACTCTGAATCAAATTACAGAAACTGACTACAATGATTTGTCTTAAATTGACATTAGAAGGGATGAGAAACTGCCAACTCAAGATTCAGCCACCGCTATTATCCTGGCATTTACATCATCCGAGTTTAGTTTCTCTATTTTGTGTAGGTAACTAAAAATGCATACTTATTTACAGGCAACCCCAGAAAAACTTAAGACTTCTAGTCTTAATTATAATACATCTATTGATCCATCCTTATTTTAAAATAAGCAAAAAAACAACAAAAAAATCTGGTCCAGCAAGTTTGCCCAATACTAAAACTACTAAAAAACAAGAATAAAAACCATTACAATTGTTAACCTTATTATACACTGGCCATAGGTGACAGATACTTTCTAACACATACACACACAGACACACACGTGCACACACGCACATGCACACTCACACAGAGCTTGTAAGGAGTACATCATTATTCACACGATAGTACAAATCAACTGAAAAGGTCTACAGTGTCAAAGCTCACCCAGTTTCTGGGTAGCAGAGCCAGGGTTAGACTCCATAATGTGAGCCAGGACTTAAGATGCTCGCATTTCAGCGGCCACAGCAAATTCTGTCTCCTAGTTCCCCTCTGCTGTTCCTTACTCTCAGAATGGCTGTGCATTTCTGCACACCGCACATTCGTGCAATCCTGCAGCATCTCCGTTCTCCCCGGGTCCTCCCATCAATGCTGCTCCTCTCCTATCTATACTGCATCCACTCACAGGGCTGGGTACTGAACATCCACTGTGGGCCAGGAGCAATATGAATAAGGCAGGCTCCCAACCAAGAGAGAGCTGCTAATAAATGGAGGAACATTTGTCTCAATGTGTGGGGGAACCAACATGGGTTCAAACTAAAACCCACGATTCTGACCATAAAGTTGGAAATACCCATGAGTTTCCTCTTCCATGCAGTTGAACCAGAAGTCACACTGGCCAAAAGAAGACAGCTACATACCAGTCCTGCCTCAGCCACAACAACTTTGACTGAGCATCCAGACCTCAGTTCCTTCAACTGTATAAGGAACGCCACAAATAAGATAATGCTTGGATACATCCCAGCCCTAGTCCTGATGTCTAGTGTTTATTCACATTCTCCATGCATACTACCAGTGACTTGGAAGCTCGTACTCATGGGATAACTTAGCCCATACTGAGCAACATTAATTTTAAGAAACTCTTTCCTTATATTGCCATCTTGTTTGTAGGCTGAGCCTGTATCAGCCGAGCCATCTCTACAGCCCTTGTCCCTTATACTGAGGCGAAAGCGTCTTCTCATAACATGCACGTGACATGACTCTGGAGAATTTTTTCCTATTTTTTTAGACTTATTTGTTAATGTGTATGAATGTTCTCATGCACACATATGTATGTGCACCATACTTGTGCCTGGTGGCTGTGGCAGCCAGAAGAGGGCACTGGATCCCTTAGAACTAGAGTTATGGATGATTGGGAACCATTGTGTGGACGCTGGGAAGTGAACCTGGGTCCTCTGAAAGAGCAATAGTGCTCCTAATCACTGGGCCATCTTGCCAGCCCTTCGGTGAATCTTTCTGACTGAATTCACCCTCACTTCCAATGTTATCTAGCAATTTAGTTTCTAATGCTGAGGAATTAAAAATATAATGAAATATTCTTAAGCTGTTCAATACTGTGACTTTTCAGGCCATTTCTTCTTCTGTATGATGTTCTGTACCAGCAAAAAAAAAAAAAAAAAAAAAAAAAAAAAAAAAAAAAAAAAAAAAAAA